TGTGTGTGCAGAACCCTAGATTGAACTCAAACCCTTGCATTTGCCATGGAAGTGTTTATTCTACTGAGCAGAAACTAGATTGATTAATTCAAAGGACTGAAAAAGAAAAAAAATCTGTCCTCATTGAATTTTATACTTAGCAAACATATCATTGAAAACTAAAAGTAAAATATTTTCTAGTAATATAAACTCAAAATATTCTAATACCTCCAGATGTAACATATAGAAAATTACAAAGACCACAATCCAGAAGGTAAGAGAAGTTGCTGTATGGTTCTGGATAAAGAATAAAGAGCTCTCAAAATGATAGTTATGCAGGACTATGTAAAATATAATTATATTAGATGAATCCATTTAAAAGGTCATTGAAGATTACCATGAAACAGTATCAATCTTATGCCAGGTTATATGCATATTTTTCATATGCGTGTGTGTAAGACAAGGAAGAACTAATATAAAGCCAATGGAAAATGGAAATATATTTTTAAAGCTTCTAATACTAGTAGAAAATATCTGTTGTGATGATAACGAATAATAGGAAGTGCCCTCAGAAACAATAACTGACATTATTCATACTTGATCTGATTATAGTCAGTTAAAACTCAACAGAGTAGTTGAACGTTACTGCCAGATTCAACTCCCAAGTTCTTTTTCTTCATCTTTCAGTTGTTGGACTCACTGCAGAATATTGGAGATGAGAACAGCATTCCACTGTGGAGTCGGGTTGCAGAGTGGCAGAAGATGCCAGCAGCTTAGTGTTACAGATGTCTTGAGTCACCTGTGAGGCCTATGTACAGAGGTGCCACCCACCAACTTCTGCTCAAAGTCTGTGGAGTGTTGGCCTTGGGTCAGGTTTGGTCACAGCACTGGAGTTCAGTAGAGCTGTCAGCAGCACAGCCCAGGAGGAGGCAGAGGGCTGGAAGCTGCATTGATTGTGTTTGAGAATCTCTGAGAGTGAAACATTTGCTACAGAAGAAAAAAGCTGCTTCCCTCTTGTATCAGAGGCTTTCTCAAGAGAACTGATGCATCTGAAAATTATTTTCTAGGACAAGCATGCAGCATTTGATGTTGTTAATTAACCGACCCACCAAACAGGAGCATCTGTTTCTTAGGATAAATATATACTTGCAGATGTCATTGCCTACTGTTATAATAATGGATGGTCTTTGGTGTTAATTCTTAGAAAAAAAAGAAAATATCATACCATGTTTTATAAGTAGACTGTAAGTCAAAGATACAGTATAAATCATAAAGCAAAAATTAAAATTAAACAATATTCCAAAAATTAATT